TCCCAACTCACAACATTCTATAATTCTATGATTATCTAGTCTAACCCCCAAATAGTTCAGGATCATAGTTTGGGTCTGTGCAATATAAGAAAAGCACAGTTTGCTGCGCTATTTTGGATCAGTCATCCATCTCATCTAATCTCTTATAATAGTCTATAACAGATGGTTCAACAGGAACATTGAGACAGTGATACCGTGGACAGTATTAAGATAAACTGATGATCAAGGACATTCTGTCCAGTTCTTGACTACGTTTGACAAGTTTTCTGAAGCATGAGGTTTTATGTACCTCTAAAATATGTTTCATCCCATAGAATGAAGCAGTAAATGTTCTCATTCTTAATACAGATCTCATATTTTTGAACAGAGCGAAGCTTTTCCTTAGATATGTTTGAAAATGGACTGCAACTGGACCTTCTGAAATGTCCAAGAAGCACTGGCATTTGCATCTTTCCCATACTACAAACTTTCAAATATAGAAAAATCTAGCAAACTAGGTTCATGATTAATGTTTCCCTGTAGATGCACAACAGCTGCATATTTTGGATGCATTTTTTAACAAACCAAATAGCCGCATTAAAAAAAAAAAAAAAAAGAACTTTTCAAAATTGAGTTAATTAAAAAATAAAGACCAAAGTGTTTAACACACAACCTGATAAAAATAGTGAATTACCTTGGAGACACAAGAGAAGAAGGAAGAAGCAAGTTAACTTCAGAATCAGAAAAACAACTAGTCAGTGCAGAGCTGGGCTTAACCTTGCTATGGATGTTGCATGAATGATGGCCTTTATTTGTGAGAGAGTACAAAACAAAATAGCTCAGGCTTTTGGCATGAACTACTGCAAAAACTTACATTCTTCTAAGAAGTCTTTTTAATAGTTTTCTAACCTTTAATTTCTTTATGGCTATTTTTTAACATCTAAGCTATTTATCCACATTTAGGCCACTAGTGAAACATGAAGTAGAGAAAAATAAAGCTCAGTGGAAAACTATGGGACCAGCAAAAGTTGAAGTGCCATCTTCAAAAAACTTTCTGCGGAAACATTCAAAGGAACCCAAGCTACCAGCAAGTAAGTGTAGACATGAAATATATATGAAATTTAATGTATTTTTTAATTTTAAAATTTATAATATTAATGTTGAAAGTAACAGTTAGTTATGGAATTTTTTTTTTTTTAAATGAAAATATTTTTTGTATGGTGGGGCAGTTTTCATTGTTCCTTTTATAGTATCTAAGATACCAAAATTATTTCTCTATTTTACAAAAATATTTCTTAATCATTGTTTAAAATATTGAAAAAAGCAACAAGGAGATTATATATGTGAGTAGAAAATACAGTAAGCTTTTACAGTTCTGTGGTACAAAACCAACTTAAACATAAAGAAAAATTATATCTCTTTTTTCTGCAGCTATTCAGATGTTGAAGATGTATTGAAGTTATGTTCTATCCTGCTGATATTTCAATCTGTAATTATGTAGTTTAGATTTGTTCATAATTCTTTTCTGTAACTGATCATTAATATTAAAGTAAACAATATGAATGGGAGTATTAGAATTGAACAAATTCTTTTTAATGCTTGAAGAGATATGGGAAAAGTTTGTGTGCCTTTCTTGGTGTTATAAGCAACATACAGCTTTTACTCTTCAGCACTCACTGTTGGCTCTTAATCCCATAGCATTAAATTGGCTGGCAGTCTTCAAAGCATAGAAATTTTTTGAGAGCTGCATGTCACAGAAATAAGAAAATTGGACTGTTTTGTTGCAAAATGCATATTCTGCAATTGTGGAGTGACCTTCTTAGTGCTGCTGGAGTTCTGAGTAAATTGCTGTCAGAATTTCTAATTGAGTTCTAAAGTTTCAGCTTGAAATTGTTTTTGTCCTGCAGAAACAGAAAAGCTTAATGTACAGTAGAAAAAAGAAAAAAAAGCTGTCTAAGAGAATGTAGGAGTCCAGCTCCCAAATTTGTGTAACACACACAAATGGCTTTAGCACTGAAAATATGGGCTGTTCCAGGACGCTTTGGAGGCTTAATGCCTCAGGTGATATGGATTATTAGAACCTTAAGGTAAACTTTGGTTGCAGAAGTCCTGTAGGCATTCTGAGTCGTCTTTCAATAAAGTCTTCACTTTTTCAGGATATCTGAACAGCATTCAGTGTACCAGTATGTAATACTTTGTGACATCTGAGCATGAATGCTTCCAAGCTCAAGACCTTGTTAAATTACCACACTAGTGTTTTAGATGGGCATAGGAAAGAAGGCTGGTTCACCAATAGTTTGGAGCAGTCCATAAGATCCCTTTTAAGTACTAGCATTATAAAATCAGTGTTATCTACTTCAAATTTGCTATTTATTGAGACAGAGCACTCTAACCCATTTTTTTCAGACAAGCAGCTCACAATATTTCTATTTCAATTTGTTGATTCAGGGCTTCATAATAGCAATATATGCTTGGGTGTTTGCATTTGGAGTCAGTGTACCAGAGCCTCAAAGTGACTATGACACATCATAGCTTCGATCCAGACTAGTAATTTCATTGCCATGATTAGATCCTAATAGATCTTGAGAAGGAAGAACTCAAAAAGTTCTTGTACCTTTGCTTGATAGAATTTCATTCCTACCTCAGAGAAGTTACGCTGCTTAATCACCTCTTTTAAAGCATGGGACTTTCATCACTTGGAATTTAACCAGTTATCACTTGCCTAAATGGGAGTATGGCATTATGTTTATGGTATCTGTGCCACCTTCAAAACTGGGTTTGATCCAACTAGTTAAAAAATAGAATGCAAGGACAGAACAGAAAGATTATTTCTTTTTTCCCTGAAGTCTGGGATAGTGTCATTATTTTAGAGTCTGATTACTCACCACTTCCTTACAAAAGGTACGTTTCCTAACCTTCAGCTGAATCTTGTTGTATTACTGGGCTCTGGCATTCATTTTAACCAAGCTCATTTGCTGGCTTCAGAAGAATCGGGGGCTCCCAAAACAGCAAGTCTGCACCAGTGTACCGCAGATAAGGGTGAGACAGTGTTCACTGAGAAGCTTCAGAGATCTTGTTTCCAAAAGGACATCCTACGAGAAACAGAGATTTAAGTCTGTGTGTCCTAAGTTATGGCAAGCTATCAGGTTGTAAAAACAAAACCCAGGAAAGCACTGGTTCGTGGGGTCAGTATCAGGAAACCAGCTGTTGTAGGGATGAACTCTGTCGCATGTGACATTACAGTTATTTTCTGCCAAAGAAAAACATGAACTCCAACAACATGAATCAAACCATTATCTCTGATAATGACTGTGAGTTAGGGTTATATCTAGTGGGAAGTATGGTGGGAAATGAATTGTCTTTCATCATTCACCTGAAGCGAGACTGCTGAGGAAACTACTTTCTGTTGGTGCCTTGGAGAAAAGATTAGACTAAAAAGGAAGAGTTTCTATATTCTCTGGAGAAAGGATTGTGATAAGTTGTTCACGAGTGTTAGGGAGCAGCAAGAGCAGGGCTTGTCCCTGAGGGGAGGTGAGCCAGAAACTGAAGGCAACCACAATGCAGGCTGGGCATTGACCTCACCAACAGGGTGCAGTCCCACACCAGAGGCAGGCAAGCAGAGTAGGGTGGTGATGAAAATGTGTCCTGCCAACAGCCTAGTGACCATCAGGCAAGATGAGGTAACAGACCAGGTCCATCCCCTGATTCCACATAGCTTTTCAGGAATAGGACTAGGGGCAGGCATGGCTGAGACAGCTCTGCCAGGCAGTGACAGCACAGAACTGAGCTGAAATGGGGTTCCTGAGCCCAAGGGTGTCAGGTGGGTGCCCCAGGTGAGACTGGGCAAAGCAATTAATGCCTAAGGGCCCTGACAACAAGCATCTCTAGTAAAAGTAATTTTAATTCCATTTGAAAGAAGTCCCATACTACTGCAGTTAAGAGGAAATAAGTGTCATATTATAAGGAAAACCCAGCTAAAACAACATAGTATTTCCTAGGTTATGAAACCTCTGTTATGCCAAACAAGCATACTCCTTTTCATCACAGTATATCCCAGTCAATCCTTTCATTGTAGATAAAATTGGTTTCTGTTTTTATGTAATTTTGTAAAAAAAAATTCCCTTTTGAAAAATGTGGTAACATTAAATTGCAAAGCTCTTCATGGTTACTGCTGAGAATGTTTACATGTTTAATTTATAGGAAAAAAGGAACAGGATAGTAAGAAATTGCCTGCATTATCAGTGCCACGGAGGACAGATCACCCAGTTATGGGAATTCAGAGTAATAAGAATTTTATAAATACAAATGCAGTTGCTGCTGTCACAGGATTGCCTAAAAAGCCTCAACCTATTTGTGTTGATAGAAGACAGGGAGATAAATATCTACTTGAAACTTCAGGACTTGTTCCAAAATATATTAAAAAAAAGGTAAGTTTTATTAAGTTATAGTGGAAATACAAGTAGCAATGCCTATTTTAGGTTCTCTATTGCATTCTCCTGTTAAATGTTTATGATTCTTTTTGAGATGTTTAGATACCACTGCTGTTTGTGGTAGACCTTTGAAATTCACCAAGGAGAAATCACTGGCACTGGAATTGGTCCTTGCCTTTGCCCTGTATTCACTCGATTATGCTGTCAGAAAAAAATTGGCAGAATGACGCTGCTAAAGCAATAGCATATGTGTTGCTCTGGGAACCCCGGGAGTATCTAATGGGGAGGCAAATGGAGTTCTGTGATGAGTGAATGCTGGCTCTTTAAGAAAGACAGGCAGGGAAGAAGAGGAGGAGTTTGCCCTTTGGATGAAGGAGCTGCTCAAATACATGGAGCTCTTCTATGGAATTGGCAACAGGCTGGTTGAGCTTGTGGGTCAGGATCAGAAGAAAGGCCAATAAGTGTCAAAAGTGTGATTGCTATGAACCATCCAATCAGGTGAGGAACTGGGTGAACTCTCTTTAAGCAAGATCACAGTGCAGCTTCTTACAGAAGACATCACCGTCCTTGATATCTGCTGAAAGGACAACACAATGGGATGGAAGCAATCCAAAAAGGTTCCTGGAGCATATCAGCAAGAGCTTCTAACACAGATGGTGGATGAGCCAGCCAGTGGCCATGCTCTTCTGGTTCTGCCACTTACAAATCAGAAAGAACTGGTCAGAGATGTAATAATCAATAGTAATCTTGTTTGCGCAGGCCATGAAGTAGTTCAAGATCCCCTCCTCCTCGGGGAGGCAGGTGGTAGTGCACAGACCCTGTACTTCAGGCGGGCAAACATCAGCTTATTCAGGGAACTAGTAGATAGGTCCCAGTGGGAGGCAGCTCTGAAAAGCAAAGGAGCTTGAGAGAGCTGGCATGCTTTTAAGGACAACATCCTCCAAGCACAAGAGCAGTCCATTCCACTACTCAGGAAAACAAGATGTATCGGGAGTCTGGCTTATCTAAACAGGTATCTCATGACAGAGCATTATGCAAAGAGACATGACATATAGTGTAACTGATGACAGAGAAGATGCAAAAAAGAGAACCTGAGCCCTTGCAATACCTTTGTATGGCTAAAGACGTATATAAACAAAGCTAGTCATAGTGCTACCCAACACTAAAAGCTTTGTGAATCATTTATCGTTTGGTAGAAAGAAGGTAGACACTGGTACCTTCTGGCAGAGCTAGATAGGCTTCATTTCACACAGGATAAGGCAAAATAGATGTGTTCCTCCAGGTACATCTGGAATATTCAGAAATTATTTTTCCTCCCAGAAACACAATGCTGTCACATCCAGTAAGGGATAGTTTATCATTCCTAACTAGTCTAATTTCAATGTATGTGTTAACACTATTCACTCTCTTCCGTGGCATGCGATGTTCAACAAAAATCAGGATACAGGAAGATCTTTCAAATAAAGTATCTAAGGAATGTGTTTTAGAACGTTGCATCTGACCATATAAAAATGTAAAATAGCTTGCTGTCATTAACAGGTTTCAAACTCCTAACTCAACCATCAATTCTTACAAATAGATATTTTGTTTTCTGGATTCTGTTGCAACCTTTTCCAAGGCTGCAAAAAGAAATTGAAGGTAATTGTTTATACGTTTTACTCAGGCTACAAAGACAATCACATGTGATACTTTCTAAGAACAGAGTGATTTAAATTTTATTGCTTGGTGGCACAAAATTCCATCTCAAGCTGTCTTTGCAGGTGTAATGTACTATGGATGACACTGTTTCCTTCTTAAAAGGACATATAAGAAACTTGTTCCTTACCCTTATAGGATTATGGTGTTACACCAAAATATATAACACGGAGGAATGAAGAAATGAAGAGAGCTCAGAAAGAATATGAGGACAATATCTTGGAACAACTGAAGGAAAGAGCCATGAAACAGTTATCTGATGAAGAAAGGATAAGTCTTCTGCAGGTGCATATTTTGATTTAGTGTAATTAGTAACATGTACAAAAGATTAATAAGGTAATGTAAGTCCATAGAAATAATAAACCTACTAGATTTTTTAAGAGGCAGATGAGTTAGCTACTTTTTCACTAGATGGAGCTGTAGAACAGTTGTAAACTGAAATGAAGGGACCTGATTTAGCTACAGTGTTAGTCCAGTTTTACAAGTATTTATAAATTCTGTTAGATTCCTATCCCTCTTAATGACTTGGAATGTCAGTGAAACTTTAAAGGAATGACGAAAATCACCTATATGGATTTAGTGACAGTTCTGACTCTTTACTTGTGAATCATGGAAAGATACAAATTGCTTGCCCCCCCGCTCCGATCCATAACATTGCCACTTTTATTGGTAGTTCCTATCTTCACATTGTGACCTCACTGACTAAAGCATAAGGTCATGCTTTAAAATATGGCAAAAACAGAAAACAGAATTAAATTGCAATATATTCGTAGATCTATGACAGGAAAAAATGTATTTTGTCAAGCTGTTTTGGATACTGTCTTTCATACAATTTTTATTGCACAAGATTTTCTAAAGAGAAATAATACCGTAAAAGAAGTAGAGCAGAAAAGAGACATTTTTCAAGTATATCCAATCCTTGAACTGGAATTTCTCGTGACTACATTTTAGCCAAATTTCCTATGAAAATGAGGCTTACATTACTGTAATATCTGTTTATCAGTCTGTCCTTTAATAAATTGATCTTAGCAACCACCTGAAACAAATTAGCAGATGGATGGACATCTCCAAGATGCTAAATTCCCACAAAAAAGCCAGCAGAATATCTAGAGAGAAAACAGTGTCTAACTCACTTGCAAAGATTAACTGGTTAATCCGCAGGATCCAAAATAGCTAGCACAATGGTGCTGTGCAGCAAGCAGTAGAAGCTAGGAAGGAGTATGCGAGAGAGGTGAGGGTATTGCATTGACAGCAATATAAAGAACATAACAGCAAGGGTGAAGATTTAAGATATTTTTATGGTGGGAAAGGCATTGGACAAGCTGAGGGTCCAGCAAATTGACTATGAAGCAAAAATATATGTGCAAAAAGGCATATGAATTCAGCTGCTCACGGTTCTGCATTTAGTTTGATTTGAATTATGTTCTATATTTTTAAAATACAAGAGTGCACTGAATTTTTTTTTAATTGAATTTTTTGAGATTGTTTTTAACTCAGTATTTTCTTTTAATTTTTTCAAAAAAGTTTGCTCTTTCATAGGCCTGATTACTTACACAGTTATATTGTCAGGAGGAATTAGAGTCCCCAGGGTATGTGGCTTCTATCCAGTGCTCAGCTGTAGACATATGGGAATTCCTGTCTTTAAAAATAATTGACATTGCCAATGAACACATGTGCACTATCTGATTTAAAAGAATACGTGGCAATAGATGTCTGAGAACAAAATCAAGCCTCGTGAACTTACAAAAATAAAGGGATATAATGGGACCAACATTTTTTTAACGCTCCATTATGCTTACTTGGGTTAGGATTTTATGAGAATAAAAGAGTATGTCGATAACTGCAGTACATATTTTTCACTTATCCCGTATGTGTTAGAATTCCTTGTACCGAGTTACATACTCAGTTTGTGATCTAGCCCATAGCAATAGTGGTCAGCATATTACATTGCTGACGGAGGAGCTGTGAGGGGGATTTTTACTTAGGGAGTCACGATCTGCTTTTGATCTCTCCACTCTGTAGGAATAAACTGTGGTAAGTGCATGCTCTGATGTGTTTTAAAACTCACTGTTTTCAGTGATTTCCAAACCAGTTTTTACTAATGTACACATAGAAGAATTATTGAAAAGAGGCTGTGAATGACTCTTCTATGAAAGTTTTGGAAATACTGTATTTTCATGACTATATATTGTAATCTATACTATACGCCTGGTAGACTAGCTTTATTTAAGTACTTTACAGCCTTGGATTGCAAAGACAAGTAGCATTACAAGACAGTAAATAAATAGACCTCTTGTTCTTAGTTTCACATGTTCAGGTAGAGTTATGTAGATATTTGCATATGAAGGTTCTTGGAATAAACTTTAAGGATGACAATTAAATGCTCAATATGAATATGCAAAAAGCATGAATTGCTATGCAATAAATACACTGCTTTGAATTGGTAAAATATTAATTCATATTTAGAAGTATGTTTTTCTTAGTATTGTCAGGGAGAGGTCATTTTTTTCTGTTGAATCAATTCATGCAGTGGACAAAATCAGACAAGTTTTTGAACACAAGTCCTTGAATTCTGAAATAGAAGCAACAATCTTCAAAGCTAAATGTGTATTAAGAATAATTACTCTAAATTTAACTTCAGTATGTTAATCAATTAGCCAATCTGGGAGAAAAGGTGCTTAACAATGCAGAAGGACATAGAGGCTGAAAATCACAACATGCCATAAAATCATTGTGTCAGCTAAATTAAATTTTAATTATGGAAGAGAGTTGAAAACTTTAGTTCCGTAGTGAGTAACTTCATTTCTTCATTTTTAAAGATACTTTGTGATCTCCTCTAAGGAAACAGAACCGAGAGCCAAAAAGTTTTGGAAAAGTGTTTTCTCACTGATAGGCATATTGTATTATTTACAGGTTGCTGCATGAGTTCCTTGTAGTAGGTGTGATTATTAAGTTCACCCATATAGTTTTCATGAGGACATTTGATGCACTGAAGCTCTCCTAAATTCTCATATATGCATGTACAAGATGTGTAGATTTTTATTATCCTCTTGATGAGAGAAAGTAAGAGCAATTGTTGCAGTAATTGTGAGGATATTATTCTTTATGAAGTAAGTTCTTCTCATATATATCCTTTTCATGTAATGGCACTAGGGGCTGAAAAAGAACTGGGAGGAAGCCTATCGTGAATTTCAGTGTCTTCCAGTAGAAATAGACAGCATATCCAAGAAGATGCATAAAGAAAAGCTGGAATTACAGATGAAGCAACTGGAGCATGACATAGAAGTATTTGAGAAACACAAAGTTATCTACATTGCAAATGAGTAAGGACTGTTTTTCAGATCTCGCCTCTTTCCTCCTTTTCTTTTTCTCTATTCCTAAATCTCTAAGAAGCACCCCCCTAAATTATCAGAAGAAATTGACATGGCCAACTATTCAGAAGGAAATATTCAACTAATAGAAAAATTGTTACATATAGCTCTCATCTGTATAATTCTCCAAACTTACTGAAATAAAATTCTTAATTAAACTTTGATTATAAGAACATTAATTTAATCTATTATTCTTTGTAATTTTTATCAACTACTAAGATTTCTATAAACATCATACAAAAAGCATAAAAAATACTGTTTCATTTGCTTGGAGCACTTCTTTCCTTGCATAGCCAAAACAAAGTGAAATAATTGGCTGCTGAAGACAGTTTGGTAAATATAACTTCAGGGTGGGATGGCTTCTGGACTAGTTATTAAAAAGCTGTTGCACTTTACTTAAAAGCTTGAGCAATTTTACTAAACAGCTTAGCTTCTGCATAACATTTTGTGTACTCATTTTTTGTTACTAAACACAATTTTTACAGTGGAAGCTCATAATAATATAGACTTCACACAACACAGATACCACATGTAGCTTGCGGTGTATTTATGTATTTAAGTAGAAAAATGTGTTTTGATTGCTGTTATGTGTGTAATGTTAGAATGAAAGCAATATACCAGCATGTGAGTCAAGACCTAGGCAGAAATTATATCAGCACACTATACTACAATTATTTGCATAAAAAGAAAAATTGTTTTTCTTTTCTACTGCTTAACCTTTGCTTCAGAACAGAACTTTTTCTGTATGGTGTCAATCACTACCAGCAGCAGCTGCCATCAGCAGTATCTGCCATCAGCAGAGGATGAAGTAAAGAATTTCAAATGAATTATTAAAAGCCAAATCTTCATGTACATTAAATTCCTTTTATAAATTTGTCAGGGAATGGCTTTGAAGACTTTACAGTGATTCTAGGCCATATTTCTTGTGTGTCTTAAACTTGTCTACGTCATGCCCTAGGAAAGTGTGGGTGAGCAGGAACGTGTATTTTGATCTTTGTAACTTATTGTTCAGCAATCATGTTTATTTTTTAAAGACATAAACTAGAAGAAAGCTGTGGTTGTATAGAATATGAATGTCATTTACCATTTACTCAAAATAATTATTTATACTGTATATTTTAACTAAACCACACCAATTATGAGCATTTAATAACATGTCACATTATCTCCTAGGGAAGTACAAGATGCCTTTCCTAAGAAATAGAATATAATCAAAGATGGCTGGTTTTTGTGGTTTAAAATAAAAAATTAGATTTGACTCCAAAACAGCGAGCACTCTCACTGCCTCACTCTCAGCTTTTAGTTACTTGTAGATCATTTGGCTGAGTTAGGTTGAGGATCTGGATTTGGTTCTTCCATTTATCCTCAGTGATAACTTTATGGAAATGCAAAGCAGGTGATGGCCTATCCCAAAATTTGGGATAAGCAACTGGGCCACACTTGGAAACATTCATCATTCACCAGTAATAACGACTGCTTTTTAACACTGTCAGAACAATAGTAGTGTATTATTGGGAAGTTAGGAAGTGACCGGTAAGGAATGCTGCTTAACAGGAGAGGGATAGACTAAGGCAAGTGCACTTCCGTAGCCGAGTGGGCTGTCACTAGTGCCTTTCAACAGTACTGTGGGGTTTCTTTTGCATAAACTTCATATAGTGCTTTGCAGGTAGCTCTGCTGCCCCTCTTCATGTTCCCCTCTTGATACATGTGAATAGCTTCTGTCACCCTATGGCGAGGTTGTAACTCCTTCAATCTATTTTGATGTGTATTCCATGTGACCTACCAACACTTCTGATGATGGAAAAAATATGTTATAATGAAAACCATTGAAGATACACACAGAAAGATAACATTCTTACCCTTTAACTCTCTCTGGGAAGTTTGACAAAATAAATTTACAAAATCCAAAGAACATAACTCTCTATTTATATGTTCAGGAAATGCCAGTAATTTAAGATGTAATGTTCATAAATCAACTAATATGTATCATCAGTAACTAAAGCAAAAAGGTGAGTAAACTCAACTGTTCTGATAGAATTGTTCCTTCACAGAATATATGAAATATTGAAAGAAACAAGTCTGTCCACAGGCTAAGAAGTAGCATTATCAGTTGAAACATTCTCTAAATTCACTAGTCAATTAATGATAATCATTGAAATAATGAGAAAGAAAATAATCAAAATGCTTCTAGTACTTCATAATTATCCAACTGGTATTTTTAAATGGTCCATATTAAATTGGATAACCACCACAAAACACATGTTAAATGAAGTATGAATGCTCTGTTGGTCAGCAAGAGCTACGTTGCCACAAACTGAAAATATTTCCTGTTGGAAGTTGTGCATAACAAAACTGTGTATCTATTTTTTAAAAATAGCAACATGAAATTATGATAAATATCTTACTGGCTGTTCTTCAGAATGAAACTATTTATATCCAGGAAGGAAGGGATGAGATATGGCATCGTCACAAACACAGGGAGTTCCTGATTGTATGGCTCCGATAGAGCTGCCTCAAGCAAGCATCAGGTCTGACGGGAGCATATGGGCTCCATGTGGCAGGTCTGAAAGCACGGTGCTTTCCTGGGCTCTGCCTGCATTCCTGGGGACCAAGTCTGGGACAGTTCCTCAACATCGTCCTTACAGAGGGGTAAGCTCATTCCCCTCGTGAAACAGTAAGGGAAAAATTCTGTGGGATAAATAATATGGGAGAAATTCCTCACTCGTTTCGTTTTCCTTAGCCTCCGTAGGTGGATTTTATTGGAGGAGGTCATGTTCTGGCCCTTTGTATATTTTTGCAAAAAACTGGCATCACAAACGGCTGCTGCGATCACTCTGCCACAGAGCTAAAGTCTAGCCCCTTGGCATATATCTCAGGGAAAACAACCTACCAAACAATTTCAGCCCTAATGTAGGCAGACATCTTTCAGATAAGAAAATTTTCCATATATGCAGATTAGTGTGAGTCCTAGATAAATGCTAGTCCTAGTCAACACTTTCATCCTTGGCTTTATGATGCTTATAATATTAATAATATAATTACAGGAGAGACAGGTGGCAAAACCTATTATTAAGGTTGCCTGACATTTCCCATCATCAGGGAAGCCAGTTGCTGAGCCCTAAAGCTGATGGGGATCACCCACCCCAGGAACTAGAGGGTATTGAGCCTGACCAGGCTAAGGAAAGGCCTGTTTCTCCCCATGAGTGGACATCCAATGTAGTAATGGATACTTGACTGCTGAATGCCTAGGCTGTATTTTTTTAATTATTCTGTCTGACCTTGCTCCAGCTCCTTTTTGTTATGTAATGTTATGTAAATAAAATGTGAGTAAAGTCAGGGTCTTCATCCTCCAGGCAAAGCTGTGGCATCATGGTAGGAATCCAAAGTGAGCTAAGTTTCTTGTTTGTGGTTTTTTCTTTAAAGTGTGCCGAGGTAAATATGTGTGCCACTTCACCAAATTATAAAAAACATATTTTTTTTTTCCCTAGACTGTGCCTCTAACACATGGTTGTAGATAAGCAGGCATAGCTAATAGTAGACTACATTCATGTCAGCTGGTCTTGTGGATGCTTGCTACAAGGATGAACAAATGTTCAGTCGCAGTACTAGCCTATATTAATTTGTTATTCCATGCCTGCCTCCAGATTGACTCCACAGCATAGAGAAATTCACACAAACATGCAAACACTGGAACAACTTGGTCTTCATATCCTTCCTTAAATGTTCTTTGCAATGGTGTCTACCAAAAATTAAACAACAGCTGAGCTGCTGGTGAGCTGAGGTTAGGGTTTATCTTGCTGGCCTGTGCAGTTTCCTTAAACTGCCCTGGCACTGTAGCCAGTTGTTTCTTGTTTTAGGCTTGGATTGTAAGTTATCTGCCATGTGGATCATCTTTTTCTCTCTTTGCTTAGTGTCTGACATAATCAACTTTTTGTCTGTAAATAGAGCTCCTATGGAATGATGATGATGATGATAATAATAATATGTTCATCTGATGAAGAATTAAGACCATGCAATAAAGGGAATTGATTCAAGTTCTTTACTAAAAGGATCTGTTTTCCAAGAAGCCTCATCTCATTTGTTTCAGTAACTGCAAAGTAGGAGTTAAAGGATGATAAATGAGATTTAAAGCACTTAACTTATTCCCTGGAGCAATATGATTTATTCATATATTTCTCATAGAATGTTTTTGAAATGCAATTGTAAATTACTTATACCTGGCTTTTTCACTGGCAGCCATTAATAATGCTTTTCTCATTTCTGGGGTTCCTGACTTGTGCAATTTGAGCCCATATATTTGTATTTAAAATACAGGATATGTGTGCCTGAAGTTAGAAGCTATGCTTTGAACCTAGACAGTGCTATATAATTTTTTGAAAGCTATTGTCTCAAACTGGTCACTCAAAATTAATGAAATTAATGTTTAATTTACTCTTGCTGGGTGAGAGCCCTGACATGGAAAATTCAGGTTACTCAATCTTCTGATTCCCAGAGCTGGTGTGAAGACAGACAAGTACCTCTAGAACTGTTCCCGTATTGCTTCGAAGGCTGTGTTAAAGCTGAGGAAGCAATACAATCATTCTTTCTTCAGAGGAGCAAAGTTCAGTAGTGTTCAACATGTCGTCCCAAGCACTGCACAATGAGGAAACAACCACGTGCTGCTGCTTGCTCAGGAGGAATGGTCTGTCTTTTACACAAACAATAAAATTAGCAAATGGTCTAAATCCAGCCTTCCAGCACCCTTAGGAGCAGGTCATTCTGTGCAGCAGCAGAGCTCAGGGGCTGGCAGGCCATGAACATTTAGCATGCCTATGCTACAGGAGAACTTGCTGGATCAGGTTCTGCTTTTCAATACACTTTTGTTACTCCACTGTTTATTCTAGGCAAGCTGTGAAGTATACAAAATTACATGAAAGACAACTGAGCTGTTTTGGGAAAAAAAAAAAAAAAAAAGAAAGTCCTTAAACTGTTCTCTGTTTACTTGTTTAAAACACTCAGAATTCATTTGTGCAAATTTTCCCAAATTTGCTGTAGTTTATTTTAAAACAAGAAGAAAGAGGGATGAAGCCAAGTCATCAACCACCTTTAGAAAGAAAA